TACATATAAATGCCACCACACGTATTCTTGTGAATGGGTTGCTGTCTCCATAAATCCGCCTTCAGAGGTCAGTAAGGCAAGGCGACCCTCTGACTCCTTTTCTTTTTATTATTGTAATGGAAGCCCTGGGTGCCAACCTTAGAGCTAATCATAATATCAAACGACTTAGCATTTCAGGAACCCCGAAATAGGCAATACAAATAACCTCAATGTTTGCAGATGATCTTACGATCATAATAGAGGCTTCAGAGACAAACATGGAAGAAATAAAAAACCTTTTGGACAAAATTTCCGCCCTCTCAGACATGGTAGTCAATTGGGGAAGTAAAACGCAAGGATGGTGGATCCACTCAAATGGTGGTCATCCACCCAAATCCCCCATAATACAATGGTTGCCATTAGAAGCCCCTCTGAGAGTATTAGGTGTATCGTTGACTGCTTTGGGCAAACCCACAACTAGTGATGAATAGATTTCAAAGCCCGCAATCCAAAAGATGAATCAATGGAAGAATCAACATACCTCTCTTTTAGGGAGGGCACTGGTCATAAATAATGTGGTGTTTGCTTCAATTTGGTACAAATCAGCAATTTGGGCAATTAGCAATCCAGGAATCAAACATCTCTTAAAACAAGTGACGATATTTCTCTGGAGAGGAGATCATGAGCTTCAAAAGGTAATTCCTAGAGTGGCATGGTCTACCCTCATCCAACCTAAGTCCAGAGGAGGGTTAGGAATTTTGGACCCCACCCTACAGTGTCAAGCTTTGTCCCTTCAATGGATGATTGATCTCATTCTTGGTATAGACAAGCCGTGGCAAACCTTAGCCCTACAACAAATCAGGAAATTGGCACCGGTCGCACCACCTGAAGTTCATCCCCTTACTTGGGTAGAAAAACATATTTTGGCATATTCCTCATCCTTCTGCACACTTAAGAAATGAAGGGGAAAGAAGTGCTACTCATAGAGACCTTATCCTAGATACTCTATGGGTGTCTCTTCTGAAAGTGTGGAGGAAACTACCACTACCCAACAAACCTAAACCCACACGCTTTGAGGAAATCATGAGGCAACCTCTATTTGGTAACAAATGGATTACAGATGTTAACGGCTGCGTGTATAATAGCTCCACTCCTCCCTGGTCTCAATAGGTAAAAAAAGGGGTCATACGGATTAAAGACATTTGGGATCTACAGAAGAGAGGATGGAAAAATCCAGATCAACTTAAGAAAATAATTACTTACGCCCACAAATTGGACCAGAACTGGGACCACATAACTAGTTTCATCCCTTTGGCATGGATCAGAGAATTGAGAAATGGTGTGAAGTTTCAAGAAGGTGATTTTGTAACAACTACACAAGATCCACGAGATTGGAAGGTTGGGCAAATCATGAGTCTACTTGAGGAAGGAGCCCGAGTAGCCTTGTTCAAAATAACGGCAAATCATCTGCTCATTTCGATACCAGATAACCAGGTGGAGTTCTTCCCATTCAACGAAATGTTTAGAATCAGAGTTATTTTTATTTCGGCCACCATTGGATGGAGGGCCTTCCATCCGAAATGCCCTATTCCAGATCTACCCTTTGCCCAGACGAATGGGTATGGCAGACAGGTACAAGGAGTAAACCATGTACTCTACAATCCCTAACAGTTAAGGCAGCATATCGTCTGCTTAGACCTAAGGTGGATGCAGCATAGGTAATAAGGGACAGATGGACCAGGCACTTGAACAGTGATATACAAAGCATCAAAAATATAAATTATGTAATCAACTAAAAAAACGGCATGCTAAGTTCTCCTCGTTACAGTGGAAAATACTTCATCGAAGTCTTCCAACGAATGATTGGCTCATCGATCACACCAATCTAGAGCAACGGGTCTGGCTCTCCCATCGTGTAAAGCATGTCTATCTGTCTTCCCCAACAAGAGAATCAGAGAAACGATTGAGCATGTATTCATTCAATGTCCTGGAACGGTGTTATTATGGAGAAGATAGGACTGTGTGTGGAGAGCACTGACAGGAATTGACTGGCCATGGGATTGGAAAGTCATCCTACTGGGTCAATGAGAACCACAGGAAATACAACTTTCAGAATTTCAGAGGAATTTGTTCGAACTTGGGCGAAAGGCCATTCTATGGGCATTATGGTATAAGAGGTGTGTATATGAAAGAGAAGATGTAAAACTGGAAGGGATGGAATTTGCTGAGCTAATTATTCAATTTGTACAGACAGAAATACGAGCACACTGGTCAGTAGTGCGAACGAAGATACAACAGCTTCATAAAAAAAAAGATATAATTAACTGTATTTAAAAATTCAATCAAGATTGGCTGGGAGGAAATGAAGGAGGGTGCTTGGGAGAAGTGAAATGGCCGGGGAAGGAAGAACAAGGGGAAACTCTAAAGCGAGACTTCCTCTTGAGCTTCAAAGACTGGTTTTCGCTTCCTCCAGGAGCCACACTCAGATCTCCGAAATGTTTTCCTGACCCTTCCCCCCGTCGGAATGAGCAATGGTGGATTTGCAGTGGTATCCTCAATGAAGTATGAATGCAATATTTTTTGGATCTCTGAGAGTTCTAGCATTCTGATGTAATCGCAGGGAAAGTTTGTCTCCATTGTCGGGCTGTTCGATTTTTCCGGGATATATCGTCTGCTAGATCTAATAGTTGGATCTGGCGGCCTGGTTTGGCTGAAGAGGCAGTCTTTATTTTCACATATCTTTATAAAGAGACAAAAGGCTATGTAAATGGGACGCTGGACCCGGTTTCCAGCAGGTGACGCTCCCCACCAATAGATGGAGTCTCTACCTAGGTGTTAGTGGTGTCTGCTCTTATCAGCAACACTAACACTGGTAGGTTTAAAAAAAAAAAAAAAAAAAAAAAAAGGGTACTCAGAATGTAGCACACCCATACAAACGCCTCCTCGGTTCCTGTAGGCTGAAGCGGTGGGTTCATTCTGTGTCCACTGGAAAGGAACTGAACAGGGCTTGTCGAAGTGGTGGTTTGAACCACTAGTACACCCGGGCATGGNGTGGTGTCTGCTCTTATCAGCAACACTAACACTGGTAGGGTTTAAAAAAAAAAAAAAAAAAAAAAAAAAGGATGTTTGCCTAGAGGAAGCAACACACATGGACGATGACAAGATGTAGGAGCAGGCAACGAAAGACTTGGATTCCAGGCCAGTTCAGATGAAAGGAAACAGTTAACTTCTATACACAATATCACAGCGTAACTAAGCACATTATATTGAAGGGAGATCAGCGCCTCTCTTTCCAACGTGCACTAAGAGGGGGATGACATCTGTGTGTCGCTTTTTATGTAATGTACACAACGTGTGCGCATACATCACATGCAATGTGCGTGCAGCGTGCGCATACTACTCGCTTTTCCTGCCGAAGAATAGGATTTTTCTTTTTACTTTCTTTTTTGGTGCAGGTCGGGGGTGCGCACACACAAGTGCAGCGCAATCCTGCGAACCCGTGAGGGCAGCAAACGCCCCTCAGGCCCTTCCCACACCTTGGGGCCCCATGGAACCATCATGCCAAAGCCCCCGAAACACCTCCCCTACCCCGAAAGACAAAAGCACCCCACGGGTGCAATTTTTATTGGGGGGCCGAGGATGGGGTCGGGGGCATTGCAGGCATCCACGGGAAGGGGGGGGTACCACACCCCACACCCTGTGGGCCCATGATACTAAACCCCTCAACCCCACCACAAACCCCCCCCAAAAAAAAACAATTACTGGATGTTACTCCCTCCCTCGCTGCCATACCGCCGCCAATGCCAAAGTAATGTGGTTGCGCTCCCTGCGCAGTCCCGGCGGGTTCCCTGCCAATGCTAGAGGACCTAGATAACTCCAGGTGCAATGGCAGGACTAGGGATCCTCATCCACTTGTCCTTGTGGCCGCCCCATCTCTCTTCAATGTCCAATGTACAATGCCTAAAGCCTCCCACAGCGTCATGCTCCTCCAGAAGTCCACTGTCCCTAACCACCCCCTCCTCAGCTGCGACGTCCTCATCTGCACCCTCATGCTCCTCCACATGTCCAATGTCCCCAATCACCGCCCCTCAGCTGCAATGTCCCCAACTGCTGCCTCACACTCCTCCATAGGTCCACTGTCCCGAAACACCACCTCCACAGATCCATGTCTACAACCGTAACATCAGGCTCCTCCAAGGTCCAAGGTCCCCAATCGGAGCAGATGAACCGAAGTTAACTCCCATGGATGCACCGTTCCTGATCACCCCCTCCTAAGACTCAAAATTTGTCATTGGGGCGCCCTCCACCTCCCTCATCGAGGCACCGTCCAACTCCCTCGTCAAGGTGCCCTCCACCTCCCTCCTCTGTCGCTCCACCATCCCCAAGCCAACGTCTGTGTAGTCAGGTCCGTATCTGCCAAGGTCTTAGCCCTGTCGCTATCCCCCCGATAGATACACGCCTCTCGCTCGTCCGGGGTCTCCTCGGGCTGCTGCTCCGATTCCCCCACTGGTCCTACAGGATGCTCCTCAAAGTGCCTCATGTGGCTGTGCTAGTGCTAGTGCCCTGATGCCGGCAAACCGGTAGGGCCCGGTTGCCCCGGCTCGACCAGCGCCTGGGGAGGACAGCTCCCCGGGTGCTGGGCCTGCGCACGTGCCCGACAGGTGTGAGTGGTTTGTTGCCACGTGGCACCTGTTGTTTGGAGACGCGGAAGTCCCGTGACACGTGGACAGGGGTAGCACCAGCTGTGGGATTGACGACTGGTTCAGAAGAACTGTGTGAATGGCACAGTTTTTTTTTTTTTTTTTTTTTTTTTTTTTTTTTTTTTTTGAAAAGACAGGCTCCGTCTATTGGTGGGGAGCAACACCTGCTGGAAACCGGGTCCAGCGTCCCTTGAATACATCATGATATTTATTTGTACAGACTGGGAACCGGGCCCAGTGTCCCTTTGAATGAAAAAAGAAATTCCTGGGAGAAGTCTAGAGCCGATCAGCTCATGAGACTAATTAGGCATCTATTGAAGTAAAGATTGCAGAACAATTTATTTTTTGGAACCGAGACTGCTTGTAGTTTTTCAACTAGAAGACAATTAGGGATCTCATCAGCCTGCATTGGGAGAGAGATGGATTCGGTGGGGGAGCTACAACATCGAGCGGCGGAATGGCTTATCATACTGGAGGAGGGATGCAAGCAACTGCAGACGATAGTTGCGGTGCTCATGCTGCGGCGGCAAGAGGGGGAAGAGATCGATGGGGGGGCGATCTCTATGGAGCAGTGGTTGGAAGACAGGACCCAGGAGATGCTAGACATCATGTGGGAGCTGGAGGAGGGGCCGGATCCCCGGCTCGAGGCCTACATCGACTGGAGGCGAGCGGATGATAAGATGTGCGTCTGCAAAACCCTCTTTACAATGGGTCACAATCTGCGCAATCAGCTGGAGAATCGGCAGGGAATGGTCAAGATGGATGACAAGGGCGACAAGGACTACTGGTGGGAGGGAGGATTCGAGGCCAGTGAAGATAATTGCAACGACAACACCAACAACAGCAAGGATAACAACAACAACAACAACAACAACAACAACAACATTAATAACACCGGCATCAAGGATATTGTCAAAAATGATGGCGACAACAACGACAATAACAATGACGACGACCACAACAACAATTACAACAACAACAACAACAACAACAACAACAACAACAACAACAATGGCGATGACTGCGGCAGCGACGACCACGACAGTAGTGGGGTGGAGAACGGTGCCCGTCCATCTCAGATCATCATCAGCATGATGGGAGAGATGCCGCAAGCGGATGTGGTGGGAATTGGGGCTGACAACAACAACAATGACGATGGCGGCAGTGATGACGATGGCGGCAGTGATGACGATGGCGGCAGTGACGACCATGACAACAGCAACAACAACAACAACAACAACAACAACAACAATAACAACGACAATGCCGGCAGCGACGTCCACGGCAACAGCAGGGTTGAGAGCGGTGTCCGGGCATCTCAGATCATCATCAGCATGATGGGAGAGATACCGCAAGCGGACGTGGTGGGGATTGGGAATGCCAACAACAACAACAATGATGATGGCGGCAGCGACGACCACGACAGCAGCGGGGCAGAGAGAATCAGCATGACGGGAGAGATGCCGCATGCCGACGTGGTGGGGATTGGGGTTGACACGGATAAGAGGCTTACCATCTTCCCCCCTTTTCCCTCCTTCCCCCACTTCAACCCCATTGTCTGGCTGAGGATAGGAGTAGGATAGTCCATGTTGATTGGTGGTCCCCAGCCCACAATATCAATCAACAACGGGGTGCTGATTGCCTCGTGGGATGGAGGTGGGCTGGTTGGGGACTAGTACGTAGGTGGTCAATCCTTCCCTTGCGCAGGGAAGTAATCAATAACCCTGCTCTCTTCGGACAATGGGTAATGGAAGCTGCACTCGCCGTCCAGATCACACAGATTACATCATTGATAAGGATCACACACAGACTCGACGTCCAGAGCACACATATTACATCACTGATAGAGATTCGTGCTTAGTCTTGATTGATAAAGATCATACACATCACATCATTGTTAGGGTTTCGTGTTTAGATTTTGGCAGATACAGAACACATACATCGCATACATCACATACATCACATACATCACACATACATCACACATACATCACATACATCACATCTTTGTTAGGGTTTCGTGGATTGTTGTACATATATAAAGACATTGTCGATTAGATGGATAGGGTCTCCCATCTTCTGTCATATATTGCTTAACGTGCATACATAGGTAGATGTAGCTGTCAACACATTTCTGCATAGGGACGCTGGACCCGATTTCCACCAGATACATTCACATCACTCTACAGGGACGCTGGACCCAATTTCCAGCAGATACACTCTCATCATTACAGGGACACTGGACCCGATTTCCAGCAGGTGTAGCTCCCCACCAATAGATGGAGCCTTCGACACCGGGTCCTACTTACCAGGGATGCTCTTATCACCTCATTAAGTAGGTTTCCCCTATACGAAGTTCAAAAAAAAAAAAAAAAAAGTGCATCATCAATTAGCCCTGGCTCGTCGATGTCTGTGGCAAAGCCACATTGAGCTCACCCATGAAGTCACGCGTCTCTGACGACTCAGGCTCTGCCTCCTCTGCCTCCTCCGCCTCCTCCACCGCCTCCATCCCACCGAAATCCTCTTCGACTGCTACCTTTGTCTCTAGCATTTGTGGCTCATGGTGCTATTCGTCCTAGCTCTGCACCAGCTCAAAACTAACAAGTCCTCGCCATCGCCGGGAGCTAGCTGTTGGGGTCGACTGCCACCTGTCCTCTGCTGTTTGGACTGCTGTCTCCATGCTCCTGAATCCCCAGCAGCGCTGCCCATGCTATCATGACGGGTTGTAGACTGCTCCAGGAGCCGATCAGACCACCTCTGCTGAAAGGCCGTGGACTCGCTGATGGAACAAGACATTGGCCTCCCTCGCGCACCACCATCGAAATTCGTATCCTAGCTATACTCCCCTCCATCGCACGGATCACCCCTAGTATGGTTTTTGAACTGCCTCCACAGGCAACCATGTCCGACTCAAACGACTCATTCGTGCCATCGGAGCTCAGGATCTGCTCCGAGACCAAACAATAAGGTCGAGAGGGACCTCGTCGCGGAACTAGCAACAATGAGCATTCAAGATCCGGGTGTACTTTGGGACACCCCGATCGCCGGGTGCTGGCAGCAGGATCCTCGCGCCCACACTAAAAGTCCCTTTTGCACCGCAATCTCCTTCGTCAAGCCCCTGTCATTTGTGTCGCCCTCGGGCTAACCAGCAGGAATACAATCGTCAATCTCCTGCGTTTAGTCATCCATCTCGTACCATGGGAGGACATAACCCTGTCCACACTTGCGAAATGCATCAAGCTTGATATTTGCAAAAATCTCAACAACCTTTGTCACCTTCCGCCGGTCCAAAGCATTGCTCACCTTCGTGTGCACATATGCATGACCGCCCAAATCCTTTTCGCAGGACAAACACGGCCATATGTACAACACACGAAGGACAATTGTCAGAAGTTGAAAGAGAACACCTCTCAAACTCTACCCACCACTGAATGCACAACATTGCCTTGTTGTCCCCCGCCCAACGAACCCCCTATGTGTCCGCATAGAGTTCGCCCCAGAATGCAGTCCCCTTCCCTCTATGGAAGGATCGCATCCACTCCAACACGGTCAAGAACTCTCACCCATCCTCATCACACCCCGTCTATGAGATGAGGTAAATGTGGCACATATCGGCCACTAACCGTTAGTCCGGCAGCCGTCGTGGAGCCGGGAGAAGAGTGGCAGGAGTTGGAGTAGCCATAGGGGGTTGGCAAGCAGCATCCTATCGCCGGCGACACAAAATAGTTTCCAATGGGCTCTTGTTCTCGGTTTGTGCTTGCAAGAGAGCATTATGTTGCTTGGTCGCTTCAGTCACGAGATAATATATCATCTGGGCCAGCTCAATGTCGGCCGAATGACCCCGTGCAAGTTAAACTACCATGACTAGTGCAGTCCCCTTTCCTCTGGAAGGATTGCATCCACTCGAACACTGTCAAGAACTTTTGCCCACCCTCATCATACCCCATCTGCGAAATGAGGTAGCCGCTAGTGCGGCAATCACAATTGCAAAAAGGGTGGCAGGTGGAGCCGGGAGAAGAGTTGCAAGAGTTGGCGCAGCCGTAAGGGGTTGACAAGTAGCACTCAGTCGCAGGCTACACAAAATAGTTTCTGATTGATTCATGTTCTCGTTTTATGTTTCCAAGAGATCATTATGTTGTTTGACCGATTCGGTCACGGGATAATACAACATCCAAGCCAGCTCAAATCGGACGGATGATCCGGTGTAAGTTGGAGTACTGCGACTAGTGCAAGATTGTTACCCAATGTTTGTATGAAGGGCTGTCAAGTTGTAAGATTAATTCAATTTCATTGTGTATGCATTGCCTTCTATCCTATTAATCGCTTGCTTGAGTGCTCACTTACCTTGCTTAGCTTCGTCAGCACCTTCAAGGGTCTGATCACCCTCTGGTCGCGTTCCGTCACTCAATTTGAATGGCTTCTCTCATGATCTGAGTCAGAATACAATTAACCGGATGGACATTCTTCTGATCAAATTGCCCTTTTCGCAACTCAATGATCTTCACGCGGCATGTGGTTGAACCCTCTCTCTCTCTCTCTCTCTCTCTCTCTCTCTCTCTCTCTCTCTCTCTCTCTCTCTCTCTCTCTCTGAGACTCGCTCTGTGTGCAGTCTGAGCACAACATACGTGGCTAGCAAGGTACGAATGCTGTAACAATGAGCTCTGGGAGGAAAATCGAGAAAGGAGGAAAATATTGTATCTACAATCATAAATCTGGAGCCAAGGAAGGCAAAACAATATCCATTTTTAGGAGATGATAAGTTTGACAGATGTGTGTCGTAGCTTCGTGTACATCCCACTCACAGACAGGACGTTTTTCGCACAATACGGGAAGTTTGGATATGGTGTGGAGCTGATGCAAGAATACAGTGCACATGTATCACACCTTTAAATAAGAAACTAAAGTGAGTAAGAGAAAACCGTCCGATGGTTTAGCTGAAACAAAACCACATAAATCAAAGGAGAAGAGACAACTTCTATCAATCATGCAACCAATAGATAACCATGTGTGAAATACATGATCGATTCAATCATATCGGAAGATTGAATACTGGGCAAAGGCATGCGGCATGCGGCATGCGACTATCGAAATCAAAACGTTGATTGTGTAGAGAGAAATAGAAAGATCATATAGAAGAAATTACTCACATGTACAAAGAGAAAAGAAAATCCGATTGCGAAGGTTTGAAGTTTGAACAAAGCCATCCATTACATGCGCAGTAAACAACACTTATGATATTTTTTCATCATTGTAGACTTATGCAAGTAGAAGAGTGTAACGACTAGTAACGAGAGCTTAAGATAGACAAATGCATACTTAGAATAGGGAAAAGATCACATATGAGGCCGAAATACGCCACTACGTATTTTCATCCATGGACAAGAGGAAAACCAGACAATTGTACACATAGGGATTTCATACATCCATTCGGAACAGCGATCTCACCAAACACACAAATGTGTCATTCCCATAGAAGGGAGTGAAAGTCAGAGAATCGAAATCTCATATATTCAAAGGCAAAAAGAAGGGCGTTTTTGCCATGCATAATCTCACTCAGAAAGATAGACACGCGGAAGAAAGGGAAGCAAATTACCCCGCTCTCATGCACGTGGTATGCTCACCAATTTCCACCATTCATCACCATCACCTGAGTGTCAACAATCCATTGCCACACACTACGCAATTAGTCCTAACCATCGTCACTCCGTCGATCCGACGCCTGCGCTGATCCGCTCTGCAGAATCGCTACCGACCCGTCGAGACTGTCCAATCCGCTAATCACCACTTGGCTCGCCACCTACTCAACCCAGCTGGAGGATAGCATAAGAAAAGAGTGTGCAAGCAAGGATGCATGCAAGGGGGAGGATGAGGGCAGAGAGGTCTGGGAGTCCACGGTGACGTCGAGGGATGGGTTTGTATCTGGTTGAGCCGTGGTGTGGGGGATTAAACCACTCTCCACGCAGCGATCTGATCTCTACGGCTACATTGGTGTGTCAAGATCCTCCTGAAGTCGCAATAATGGCGGGAAAGGAGGTTATGGAAGCTGGTGCGAGTGGAAACCATGATTCAGTAAGAGGCACAAAGATAGAGGGCGGAAAACAATTATGATGGTATGAGAAAGCGCAAAGACAAAGAGAGAAGAGCTCTAAAAAGATAACATGCAAATGCGTGAGCGTGGAGGATGCTTGCTCGAAAATAGAAAGACACAAAAACAGTTACACGAAGTACCACTGAAAAAGCAGAGTGACACCTAATTCCCAGTACAAATTGGAAATAAAAAAGTATGAAAGAAATTTCAGGCATGCTCACTAAGGTGAGTGGAAATCGCTTAACCAAAAGAATGAAAGGCATTCTAAAAAATTGCACCAAGCTCTGGGTTTAAAAAGCCGAAAAGTGACCCGTTGATGTGGCTTGGAAATAGGGGATGGTCCATCCCGAGAAGAGGCGTGCAGCATCAGCATCGTCATCCCCCCCCTGTTCCATCCAGAGAAGCAGCAAGGGCTAACCTACATAACTGCAGCGGGCCTTCATCTGCCCTGGCCTACAGCCAGGGCCTATTTGGCTATTTGCCAGTTCGGCCTGTGGGACCAGGCCGTGGCCTGACCCCACAGGCCGTATATTGTTTCAGTCCAGTCCAGTCCCGCCCGGTACCACGGTCGGTACCAGGCCAGTCCAGTCCAGTCCAGTCAGTCCGCTGGGGGTATACCCCAGCTGCAGTCTGTTTTTCGTCATTCTTCACTTTCGCAGATCTTGGAGTACTTGCGTGTGGAGTCTGCGTCGGAGCTGCGCTGTCCCCTCCAGCTCCATCTCTACCTCCTTCTTCGTCTCCATCCTAACGGACCGCCATCCCGGCGGGTCCGGCACAATAACGACTCGTTCTGGTCGGAC